CCCCCCCCCCCCCCAACAAAAAAAAAGGGTACTGAAAGCGGGCATATTAACCTCCATAATGTACGAGTTGCATTGCTGACCATTATCCCCTCCGGCATGATATCGCCATCTTTTCTTCAAAGTCAAGTTTTTTAACCTGTACAGTCAAATCATTTGCTTCTAAAATCCAGGGTTATGGAAACCGAATCCTTCCTGAAAAAGGTGGGGGGGGAAAAAAAAACCAAAAACAAAACAGAGATGGTGCTGGTGACATCGAAGAAAGGAGATTATTTTCCTCACTAGACTCAACTGAGATAGCAGACTACAAGATGAAGCTTACACCATGAACACCATATAGTTCAGATTGCTCAGTCAGCATCACCAAGTCCATCACTTCCATCCCCTCTCTTTGATATAGGAGCATAATGAGAGTTAGATTTCTTCTTTTGTGAAGCAATTTCAGCATTTTTTCGTAAGACTGCTCCAGGTGATGGGTAAGGGCGCTGCTGAAAAAGTGGACCCTGAAATTTAAAGAAACAGAATAAATTAATCTTCAGTATTCAAATCATAAACATAGACGAGCAGCATACATGTGTACAGTTGGTGAATGCATGTGTGCAGATGGGCAAAGGATGGGTGCAAATGGTATTTTTACGAATCTTAAGAAACAAAGTGATTTGAAGTTGATATCTCAAAGCTTGAGAAATCTCGTACACCCACGAGTACTAGTGCTACAAAGTCAATTAATGATCATGTCCAAGTACCACATTACAAAAATCAACCTCTTGTAGGGTAAAACCAGAAAGAAATGAAAGAGGCAAGATTAAATCATCTAAGTGGGTGCAAAATGAGGCTCTGAACCTTGCTAGACAGATTGACAAAGAAAAACAATCATCCCTACAAGTCCCAGAAGTCAAAAATCAAACCTAATTCCCTTGTCAATGTGGCCTTTGTACTCTGTAGAGCAATGACAGTTGCAACAAACAGTAAATAAAATTGGACTAGGCTTCAAGTCAGGCAAGTAAAACAGAGAAAAAAATAAAAAAAGTAAAACAAAGAATTTGACGAGAAAAAACTATTTTTAAGGAAATTTTTGGGGATTAAATGCAGGACGGGCTTTGAAAAAGGAAGTGAATAGGGTAAATAAAATTATGACGTCTTTCAATAGTTTTTCAAGCAATTTCTTCGAAAATCACAAACTTTAAAAGTGTGTGGAAGTGTTTTGCATAATTGCAAGTATTTCGAAGAGAGATCCTAGGTATTAGTAGATGGCTTCCATTCACTATCACAAGAGTCACAACACGTTTCCAGAAAAAGATCAGATTCCCAGGGACACTTGCATGCCCATTACAACAATCTGAACAAAGAATAGTTATTACTCTAATTAAAAAAAAAAACTGGTTTCATTATCATGCCTCTCCTGTATAGGAAAACAAACAACATAATAGCTTCAGGTACTATATGTACATATCAATTGAAAAGAACTTAGTGTACCGTGGCAGTGGTATCAGCCGCTCGTGGCTGTACTCCTTTCAGGCCTACAACCCTGCAAAGTAATAGATGAAAGTACTGGTGAACTACTCAGGCACTTGTCGAGATTCCCTAGAAATATCTCAGGGCTTTAACACTGTATTAAGACAGCCTTATGCACACACAAGCTTGCAGAGTACAGAGTCATATAGCTTGAAACAAAGTATATATATCATACCAGCCACCACGGGGAGCATCTGAATAGGAGCTTGGGTCCATGGGATCCATCTCATCATCTTCAGTGTAGCCACGTTTCCTGCTGTCTCTTTTGCCTTTTCCAATTGGGGGTTTAGAATTGGACCTACAGACCAAAGATCAACCAATAATGTCAACCTAGAAATCCAAATGGTTCTCAACAATTACATGTACGATTTTCCTTTTTCATAACCTGGGCTACAGGTTGGCACACCTCATAAGCTCCCCCAACCCCCAATTCATGCATCTCCCAAATTTACCATTGGAATGTCGTCAAACGCAGAGCTAACCAACCAGACTTGTTTCAAAAATGTAGCACGTAATACTATAAAATAAAATGAAAAACGAACAAAGAAGAGATGCTCAAAACTTCTGTTTAATTCTGCAAATTTATTTGCATACAAGGTTAATTCATTAAAAGGATGACCAAGTAGAGACTTTAGTGGATAATTGAAGCACTCAGTCTGAATCATAGATACCGGGATTGTTCATACCCTAACCGTCCCACGAACCAGGGTCGCACAATCCGAAACGGGGTGGATTTGTGATCCAAATTACCGACCCCAAATGTAACCCAAACCCTAAGTTCAATCACCATCCAAATGTAACCCTAATTGATTATTTCTTTATTTTGGTGATATGTAAACTTATATTTTGATTTGTTATAATACAAATAAGCAACCAATAGCTTTTATTATTTACAAATCATTAGTTGGTTCGTTGTCTTGGATTATGTGTTTCTTTGAACTCCTATCCAAAATGTCATAAAATTAGTTACATATGTATATATTGATATACAATTATGCATAATGTCTTATAATAATGAAACTAATCCTGATAAGAGCTAACCACAACCCAAAACAGGATACGGCATATCAACTAAACCTACCTCCATCGTACCGCGTATAGGAGAAATTATCATACCAAGTCTCGGTACCCATACCATGAACCCAATCGACCCACAATCCAAGTAACATTGTTCTGAATCTCATCAAAAAATTAAGTTCCTTGGACTGAATAGAGGTCCACTCAGACTCAATTTCAACGTTGACACAATTGCCAACTAGAACAAGTATGGTCTGAACCACTGCATTTCTTATTCTGTACATGTGTGTTGCAACCCATGCTAGTAAACAAAGAAAAGTGTTCTTTTGTCCATGAATAAGGCAAGTAAAAACGAGGTAAAATGCTTTTAATTTCATCAACGGGAAATGAGAGTTTCAACAGAAGCAGCCTTGCCTTCCAAAAGAGATTGTTAACTTGTCCGAAAATTTAATTTGGGCAACCTAACAATTTCCCAGAGAAGCAAATTCTGAAGCCAATGCTCAGTTCAAGCAATAGATCTTGAGTAATTTTGTTTTTTACAGCAAGTGTTCTATACTTTATTACACCTGCTCTTTTACTGTTGCTCTTTTTTTTGTTTTCTATCTTCCCATCGTACTACTTTTGTTACTTAGAACTATATTTCTTCTTTTTTCTTTTGAAAGTGAAGATATAATCCTTTGGTTTTGGTTCCTCTTTACTCTTACTGTTTTTATTTCTAGTTTAGACAAGTAAAAAACTCTGAATACATTTTCAATATTTTATAAACTTAGAGCGTGTCTTCCAATTCAATTATCTATTTTAGAGAGTAAATTCCTAAAATCCACCTCTAATAGGCTCTATTTGTACAAGTTAAAATAGAGAGCTCAATTTGACTCTCCACTTTTGAAGAGTCAAACTCACTCTCTACTCCATTTTTGAATGAGAAAATGATGCATGCACCTTATTCATTAAATGCTACTGATTATAGAGATTTTTATACTAGGATAGAGCTCCAGTTGTATTAAAATTCACACTACATTTAAATTTTATCAAAGGTGCTCTTTATTTTTTAAAAGGTGGTCGCTAAAATAGATAGCACGATTGGAAATGCTCTTAAGGACTTCCACCAAAGCAGAAGGATCCATCCAGACAAAGTTTCAGCAGTCAACCTGCTCCGTCTAATCGAAGGGGGAGCACTTGCTTCCCAAATCACCTGGTGGGTTCTCTGAAGAACGTTAAGAAATCAACAGCAAAGGCACCACCTTTTACATAGAACTTAAGCTTCAAGAAAAGGATGCATACCTGTGCTTGGAAAACTTTTTGTCTGAATCTTCTCTAGTACTTGCATCATTGGTGATCTGCTGCTGGTTTCCCACACTGGCTGAAAAGTATTGGGCTTGAGGAAGGTTGAGAATTCTGCATTTAAAACAAAGCTCAATACATTGCAGAACCAATATAATTTGCTAAATAAAGATAACAAGGATAATGAAGATCAAAGTCATAAACAATGATGATGATAACGAAACCCTGAAATAACGACAGTGGCAAAAACCTTGTGGGATGATTTTGGTTAAATAAATTAATACAAGATGACCTCTAATCCAATATTCTGCGAGAAAATCAAGCATATGATGTAGATGGTCACTTTGCCTGGGATATGCTAACTAGAAAGGCTGTTCCCACCTACGTCCAGTTTAAAGATAACATACTGAAAAAAGAGTGGGTCACAGATCAGTCGAGGTGTTTCAAAGAGTTTCAAAAAAAGAGTCATTTTTCTAAGCTTTGCAACAATCTGAGCAAGATAGATATATATGCTCCAGCTTGCGGAACAGTATAGAGAGCATGTTAGGATCATGTCATGTGGGTTTAGCTCGTTTGTTAGTCAGTCCTACACACTGTATTCTTCTTTATCTTTCCTCTCTGACAAACAGCACATTGTACACATTTGACATTGATACACCTACCAAAAAAGAAGTCTTTTCATGCTATCGCATAATTGATCGTATCACAAAACCAAACCCATTAAATTTCCATAGCTGACCTAGTTCTTGAAGCAATTATGTAAGCAGTTCTTATTGTCGGCTACATTATAGAGCTAACCCAACTATTGTCTTACATTGCATAGTTTCTGCAAGCATAATCAATACATCCTAAGAGGAAAGTGAATTTAAAAATTACCAAACATGCCCGAAGTTGAATACTTTCTCAGCACTATTGCGTTCACACATTCAGTTTAGCATACTTTAAAATGCAAGGCATGGTGAAAAATTACAGCCCAGTATTGGAAGTGATAAAGAAGGACAACCACACCGTGTGCAATGATTGCAGTAACCCCACGACTGCACAAGGCCTACTCCCCAACCACCACATCTCATGCATTTCAATAGAACAGATGACTGAACACCCCCATTTCCCTGAGTGGCATTCCTAGAAACTACGCTGTCAGAGTGGTGAGAGGCAATCTGCAGTGATGAATTAGGGTGCTCCCACTGTGATACTTGTGTCTTTGTGTTGTAGTAATACTTTTGTCCTGTAAAGACAAATAATTCAAAAAACAGAAGAGGGGGAAACGAAAAGCTCAAGAAACAGTTTAACGACAGATAATACCAAAAAATGGGTATCTTCATTGTCACCCCATCAAACAATCATTAAAAAATCCATAAAATCTCAAAGCATTCCTCCAACTCGAAAATGGTAAAACATGTCTCATCTACTTCTTTGCTCCTTCCCTTACCATATTTAAAGTGAAACTGGTAGAAAAAAAAATATCTATATAGCATACCAGTTGTTTCATCCGTTGCCTCTTGCCATTCTTCTGAAAAAGATATAAGTGATGGGGCTAACAAATTAGAAGCAGCCTCAAAAGGTCTTTCCCACTGACTTTTCCCAGATTTTTCGTTATAATAGTACAGAGCACCACTTGCAGGGTCCCTTGCCTCAATCTGCATGCGTATTTCAGTAAAAATTGAACTTTAAAAACAATGGAAGAACAGGAAGATAGACATAATATAGGAAACAAAAATGTTTCAGTTGTTTCGAAACGAAATTTTAATCATTGCTCGCAATGTACGAGTGTATAATTTGGAAACCAATAAGATCAACTTTAAAATTCTGAAAAGCACTTTCAATTACTTTTATTGATTGCCAGTAAGATGATGTTGACAACATCTTTGAATGTCTAATTACATTAACAACATTTTGACAGCCTAAAATTTCAATTGGCTAAAAAACAGCTGTCAGGCTGAACAATAGCCTTACAGATTTAGGCGCAACTCCTTTTTGTTCACACAAATTCCACACATGTCTCTTTCATTTTATTCACTTGACACCAGTACTTTCAATTATTAAAAATCTCTTTGTTGAAACTCCAGCTCTCTCATTACAGTTCCAATGGTATTTTAGCAATGTAACATCTACATCGCCGAAAAAATTTCACCAATGTAAGTGAGCACAATATGGGCTATATTTGAGCCTAGATTCATAATTAAAATCTTCAAACATTACAATAGAGACTCCAACTCTTAAGAACATAGCATGCTTACCCTCTGTATTCAAATAGATTAATATGTTTTATAAGGCTTTAGGGTGTGTAAAATTTATGATTAGAGCATCTCACTTGCAACTGAGGCAACCAACTCCTTTGATATACCAGCAAGGTGTCTTCCTTGAGTTGAGTAGCGAAGTGAGAACTTTAATTCAACCCATGTGAAAAAAGCAGCAATTATCAAGTTTTGGTGCCCTTACTACCTAATTACAACTTGTGGGTTGACTACAAGTCTACAAAGATCCATATTCGACACTCCATTCTTTGTAAACTTTTTTCATTGGTTAATTTGAAGACAAGCAAATGATTTCCCACAGACCCTATCCATTCTCTTTTTAGACTTCTTTTTATCCTTTTGGCAATGTCAACCTGAATTAATTTACTCTAAACCAAAATAGCAAAACATTAGATTGTCTACATACAGCCCTAATCTCTCACTTTGTTCTAGAAAAAGTCACAGGCCTCATAGTCAAAGCCCAAGGGTGCAACTCAGCTTGAGCTGAGCCAGTACAAGCCCAATTGGGGAAATCAAATCAAACCATGTCAATCCTCAAAAACCAATTGCAAACAAAACTCTAAACAAAGCTAACCAAACCAACTTGTTCAATTGATTTAAGTCTGGAGTACTTATGGGTCCCAAACTCAAAAGTGTATAAAATCCTTCTAATTGGACCAACCTACAAGGTGTAACCACCAAGCTGCCCATCAGAAGTAACAAAACTCAAGGTTTGGTTATGGCTTTTGTATTATAGAGGAGATGGATGCAGATGTTAGAAAACCACTCAATCTTCTCTGATTTCCAGCTTTCTAAACAAGATCCCAATAAATTTGCAATCCCAAATAAAAAAGCATAACCAAACATACACCACATTCAACAGACACAGGTTAAGTTACAGTTATAGTGTCATGCAACCATAATGCCTATTCCAACTGATCAAGAATCCAAAGATAGTATACAGCAGTTCCATCCTAATTTAACAGAAATAACAATGGGCAACATATGAATACCAACTACTCACCCATCCTGAAGGCAATTTTCCAAGAGCAATGGTTTCTGAAAATCGAGTATCTGTCCACTGGGAAGAACGGGCCCAAGGAAACAGTTAATAGAGTAATTAAGAAGAATAGGTCAGAAAGCACATAAACAGATAAAACAATTGGTTAAAGTTGAGAAGGTAAAAAGAGATCCAAAGGAATTTAATGCAAAAATGAGGTTCACAGATATATGATATTTTAAAAAGGCAGCCCACTACACAAGGCTCCCACTCTATAGGGTCTAGGGAGGGTCATATGTACGTAGCCTTATCCCTTCACGTAGAGAGGTTGTTTCCATTATTCACAATGGAGCAAACTCACCCCAACACCAAGAGCTACCCCAATTCATGAAATTATAAAACGAGAAAATATCAGACAATCACAACATGCTTATAGCTAATATATTAATTCAAGAAAACGGCCAAAAGGAAAAATTCAGTTTCCCAAGCCCACCTATGACACAAAGCAATTGGACTAGGGGGAAGGATGAGATATAGAAAGGATCAATAGAAGAGATCAACTTGCATTGTCAGAGGTAGTAGGATCTTCTTTGGTTGATTCATCCTTCAGTATTCCCCTTGCTCTCAACTTCTGCATTAAGTATTTAGGCAACTCTTTAGCCACAGGTTTCTGTTCAGACTCCCCACCAAGCTCAGTATTTGTTTCGCCTGTTTCACGACCAGAAATTTCAGATTTCCCTAAAGCAAAAGAAGGAATCATAAGGAGACACCAATAATACTATAGAATTGGTAGTCTTACTAGGGGTAGCAATATTTTGCCTTGAAGCACCATAATAGGCACCTCCACCAGGTACACCATACCCATTTCCAATTTCCACATGACCTGATATGCAAGCAAAGACTTAGCAAGTGCCCACACAAAGGGATTCGAGATTCATTTTTGCAATCAGGCGAATTTCATTAACGCGCCAAAGAAGACGCACAACCCTGTACACCTGGTGTACACAAAAGAGCCTACGAAAATGATACGTACAACTAGGATCACAGTAAAAAAAAAAAAAAAGAAACCTATAATCTCCACAAAAAGATCCAATGACTCTACATAGGCCTCAATAAACCAAAATTAAGGTAAAGCTAGCATAACAAGATTGAGCTCATGTAAAAGTAGCTCAACCATTCAAATGTCCTCCTGTTTCTCTTCCTTTAAAATTTAATTATTGTATGGATCTGAGAGAATTACAGACTTTTTATTGATATTTAATATTCACCAATTAGAGGCCTAAAGCTTTACAGACAAGCAACTGATGAATCTGAAAAAAAACAATTTTCACTTTCTTATACTTGGCATCTTCTTTGTTTAGCATTAGGTACATTAGGGTTGGAACCACAATAAAATGTGACACCACTATGAGGGCTAGACAAGTCATTTCCTACCTATTATCTATAGTGGAGGGAAGATACAAACTACAAAATTAGAGGGAGGAGGTGTTTGCAAGGTTTTCTAGTAGGTTGGGGCCATTGAGTTAGCTAGTTTACATTTTTGTAGTAGATGCTACCCATTTAAATAGAAATTTAACAAAAAACTTCAATATTTTGCAGCACTTTGAGGTCTCAGAATCAAAATAAATTGATCACTAATGCTATTGGAACATAATTTAAGGACATAATTTGGGGACATAATGAGTTGTCACCAATAAAATGATAGTGAAATCTATTTAATGATGGGTCTCATTGTAGCATTAATGAATTCATTATCATATCATTGGTGACAACTCATTATGTCTTCAAATTATGTCTCAATAGCATTGCTCTAAATTGATAGGAAATAAAAAAGGTTTCAAATATTTTACAATTAACCAAGGATCCAGAGTTTAGAAGCACTTCAATAGTTCATTGAGAAAATTCTTCAAAGGAAGGGGGAAAAGTCATTCTTCAATTATAAGCCTACTGTGACATTTGACTAACATAACCCTAACTGTACGCTACACTGTTTTGAGTTCTGGTGTGTTCAAAAGTTGGAAAGCAATGTGCATTTAGAAACACAATAAACCAATCACTACATTACAATGTTTTGGATTAAATGGTGTAATAAATGCAACTCAAAACCATTTCAACAACAAACAGAGTGCGCTTTTAAAGAAAAGAACTTCAAGGGTTTGAGCAGAAAGTTGATAAAAATAAGGTTCTTTTTGTACAAAATTGAGTTTTTCTTTTTCCTACGCTTTTCATATGTTGGGCCATTAAAATGGACAATGAAGTGCACTCCTAACGATTACAGCATCTAGACATTTATCATAATAATTGGTCCCTCCACCAATAACACAACAACATTGGCTATTCCCACTGGATTAGAAAACGGTTTTAGGTTCAAACTACTATTTTCACACAAGGGCATAGTTCTATACAAAGAAAAAATTTGTTACACTACTGTTAAGTGAAATAAATGGGTGGCAATAATTATGAAATGGGTGGACAAAATGACAAAATCTGATGTGAAACCAAAAGTCATTATGATTTAGCCCAATGTTACATGGATCGTAAGTCGCTTTGGTACATGGTACGGATACGGGTACATGGTATGACACTTTCTTAGATACGCCATATGATAGGGTTAGGTTTAGCTGATACGGTATTTTAGGTTGCAATTCTTTTTGGAACTCTTATATAGATTGTTTTCACTATTATACAACATTATATATTATAGAATATTCATAAACACAAAGTTAATTACTATTTATTTTATAGTTGTGCTTGATTTTCTATTATCTAAAATAATATATAATTATAAATCTATATACATGTCGTCAACTAATATGCATTTTATATTTGTACTACATGTTCTAAAGAAAATTGATTTAGAGTTAGTATCACAATTTGGAGTTGTCCATTTTGGTAATCTAGATTCTGGTCCAATGGTACTCCTTATCTTATAAAGATTTTGTGTTATTGAAGTCAAGAGTTCAAGTCTCCATCCCCATCCCCATCCCCATCCCAAAAAAAAACAAAAATAGTGATCTAGATCTCGAACCCACCTCGTTTAGGATAGATGTACCCAAATCGTGGGTCATTAAGGGTTTAGTAAATTGTAGTAACCATGACTTGGCCTCTCAAGCGATTTTTCCTGCACTCCTGGAGGGCCAACTAAGAGACAAATTTTAAGATCGAGTTAAGGAGTATACTCCTTGGCATTGCTAATGAACCTGTATTCTAACCCTGGTTTTGGGAAGAAAGGGTTGAATTCTTTCGATCTGTATTTTTTTTATTATTTCATTTTTAGGACATGAGCATTACTCCTCTGCTGCACTGCTTGTACTATTTTGTTATTAATGAAGCATAAAAAATAACTTTCCATCAGCATCTCATCATAGAAAACAACTGTTAGCCACGTTTGTGCAGAAAATAAAGAGGGGGGGAAATGAACATAATGAACTAACCTTCCTCGGGAAAGGTAGACTTCCCATGTTTCGAGGCCATTTGGGTACGATGCTCTGTGGTCATCTTCAGCAAATGCTCCTGTATACATTCAAAACTTGAATTTACTTGCTCATACATCAGAAAGAAGAGAATATGCCGTGAGTCCTCACAGGCAACTGTTACTGCAAACAAGAAAAGATTAGAAGAGGTCCTAGGAGATAAAATTACATACTTTTAAAGCATTCGGGTCATGACGTCCAGAGAAAATGTCTGCATTATCCTCAGGAGGTAAGCTTGGACCTCTTGCTTCCCTGAATTTACAAAAATCCATGTATTTCAGAGCCACCTTGTAGCTTCAATATTAACAAATTCAATTGTAAATTATTCATCAAAAACAAATCAAAACATACCTTTGACTCTGTATAATTTTTTGCGTGGCAATTTCCTTAAGTTACAAAAAAAGGCATATTAATCACATCAATTAGAAAGGTGGAAACGAATATGTAGCAGAACCTATTCTTCAAAAGACATACTTGTTCATGCAGCACAGCATTTTGAGTGGCAGTATCAATATCATTGGCACTTCCAGATCGCAGATGAGAACCATTAGATTCCATGTGGGGCTTCGTTATACCATGAATAACCCCTGCTGAGATCACTGAACCAGGAGCCTCCTCTCTGAAAGTTTGACATGTTGGCATGCTAGGTTGAACAACATCACCATTCTGAAATGTATTTGGGATTTGATTCGATGAATGAGGAGCATGTAAAACATGATTAGCTGGAGGTGACGGACTAATATGAGAATAGAAGCTTTTGGATGGAGTGACCGCAGCATTAGAAGGGGGAACAGGAAAGATAATATTCTCAGAATAGGGAGCATGATGATCAGAGCTACCAGACTTCTGAATAGGTTGAGAGGGAACTCCAAAAGAGAGANCGTCAACTAATATGCATTTTATATTTGTACTACATGTTCTAAAGAAAATTGATTTAGAGTTAGTATCACAATTTGGAGTTGTCCATTTTGGTAATCTAGATTCTGGTCCAATGGTACTCCTTATCTTATAAAGATTTTGTGTTATTGAAGTCAAGAGTTCAAGTCTCCATCCCCATCCCCATCCCCATCCCAAAAAAAAACAAAAATAGTGATCTAGATCTCGAACCCACCTCGTTTAGGATAGATGTACCCAAATCGTGGGTCATTAAGGGTTTAGTAAATTGTAGTAACCATGACTTGGCCTCTCAAGCGATTTTTCCTGCACTCCTGGAGGGCCAACTAAGAGACAAATTTTAAGATCGAGTTAAGGAGTATACTCCTTGGCATTGCTAATGAACCTGTATTCTAACCCTGGTTTTGGGAAGAAAGGGTTGAATTCTTTCGATCTGTATTTTTTTTATTATTTCATTTTTAGGACATGAGCATTACTCCTCTGCTGCACTGCTTGTACTATTTTGTTATTAATGAAGCATAAAAAATAACTTTCCATCAGCATCTCATCATAGAAAACAACTGTTAGCCACGTTTGTGCAGAAAATAAAGAGGGGGGGAAATGAACATAATGAACTAACCTTCCTCGGGAAAGGTAGACTTCCCATGTTTCGAGGCCATTTGGGTACGATGCTCTGTGGTCATCTTCAGCAAATGCTCCTGTATACATTCAAAACTTGAATTTACTTGCTCATACATCAGAAAGAAGAGAATATGCCGTGAGTCCTCACAGGCAACTGTTACTGCAAACAAGAAAAGATTAGAAGAGGTCCTAGGAGATAAAATTACATACTTTTAAAGCATTCGGGTCATGACGTCCAGAGAAAATGTCTGCATTATCCTCAGGAGGTAAGCTTGGACCTCTTGCTTCCCTGAATTTACAAAAATCCATGTATTTCAGAGCCACCTTGTAGCTTCAATATTAACAAATTCAATTGTAAATTATTCATCAAAAACAAATCAAAACATACCTTTGACTCTGTATAATTTTTTGCGTGGCAATTTCCTTAAGTTACAAAAAAAGGCATATTAATCACATCAATTAGAAAGGTGGAAACGAATATGTAGCAGAACCTATTCTTCAAAAGACATACTTGTTCATGCAGCACAGCATTTTGAGTGGCAGTATCAATATCATTGGCACTTCCAGATCGCAGATGAGAACCATTAGATTCCATGTGGGGCTTCGTTATACCATGAATAACCCCTGCTGAGATCACTGAACCAGGAGCCTCCTCTCTGAAAGTTTGACATGTTGGCATGCTAGGTTGAACAACATCACCATTCTGAAATGTATTTGGGATTTGATTCGATGAATGAGGAGCATGTAAAACATGATTAGCTGGAGGTGACGGACTAATATGAGAATAGAAGCTTTTGGATGGAGTGACCGCAGCATTAGAAGGGGGAACAGGAAAGATAATATTCTCAGAATAGGGAGCATGATGATCAGAGCTACCAGACTTCTGAATAGGTTGAGAGGGAACTCCAAAAGAGAGAGGCTGATCGTAATTATCACCCATAAGCTTCAAATATTACTCACAACCATACATCTAGTGATCACAAAATCAAAAATCTCAAAGTTGGTGAAGAGGGGACGTCAACAGTAATGCCAGGGAAGCAGACACCACCTGCATAAAAGCCTATCTTCAAGTGTCAAGCTCAATGATTCACTGCTAGAGATTATCAAAATTTCTGTAGAATTTACACCTAGTACCTTAACCGGGCAAAGATGTTGGCTGACATCATGCACAAAAATTAAAAAGGAGAAATTCATATCTTAAATTTTCTGAGTCAACACATGACATAATGTCAGCATAAACATCCAAAGAGAAACATTATGTTAGAACCTTCTGATGTATTCTTACCTACACTCGTATACTTAAAAAAGAATCGAACAACTAGCAGCAGAATACATCAATATAATATGATCATACCAGTTTACTAAAGCCACATAGTTTAGGAGTAAGGTGAGTCAAGTCACTCAAGTTTGACTCCTGCTCAACTCGCTCTAGCTCATGAAAAGCAAGCAGTAGGGTTGTTCTTAAAGTCGAGCTGATACAAGGTAACAGCCTATTCAACTCATAGGCTTGGCTAGTGAGATCATCTATATTGTTCAATATTGGTTATTTAGATTTTGTAAGTGGCCAATTACATTTTTATTTGTGTGACAGGTAGTCAATGAGAATAAAACAACAGGTTGGTCACAAATTAGAAGGTTTTACAACTTTTACGTTGACTGGCCAAAATATCCTTGTATCTTAAATTTAAAAACTCAAAATATCACAACTTTGTGCAGGAATGAAGCTAATTAAGCCAAACAAAACACTGCTGGATCTTCTACAAGCCAAGCTCAAGCGACGTTAACTAATTTTGAGGCGAGCTCAAGCTTCACTGATGTTCTCCTGAGCAACCAGGTATCCAGCTTAGCTTTGCTCATTACGCTCCTATTCAAAATGTTATCTTCATTAAACATGGTTGAGACACCTTAGAGGAAATCCTTCCCTCCCAATTATAACTCATTCTAACTCTAACAGCACATTTGGAATGGTCATTTGCTTGATTTTTCTTGTAAAGTTTCATGTAAAAAATGGAATTTCCCATATTTGTGCTTCTAAAATAAGGATTTTCCATATCTTTTGAGAAAGAAAGAAAGGAAAAATTCTTCTTTTTTTTTTTCAAAAATTTTTCATGATCAACCAGGTCACCTTTGTTGAGCTCCTTCATCCGTGCTTAAAAAAAGCTTACTTAAAAAAAGGTGATTCAAGCTGGTGGGAGTGGCTTCCTCCTTGTACAAGGATGGGACTTGGTGAAAGAGAACCGGGAGCCACACTGCTTGCTCAATACATCCTTTCTTTCAACCTTATTAGCTCTAGTAGGCACGATAGGGCAGTTAATTGGCCCCAAGTTGTTTGACCCGTTAGCCATAAGTAAGTACTGTGACAAAACATTTGTTGCTCACACGACATGATTGTATGAGATCACAACCCAACACGATCATCCAGGGTAAACTAGAAGTGGAGATCGGATGCAAGCGAAATTCCCAGCAATAGCTAAGATGTTCAGTCGACTCCCTCCACTAGTGGGATAGCTAGATGTGGTGGTCCAATAGCTAAAGCTCTACCAGCTTCTTGCAGATTGAACTCTCTTCTCTTTATTCTCTTTAGGCTCTGACTTGTTTTTAGGTGGGATGGTTTTTTCTTCGCCACTAACAGCAACAAAGTTCCTGGTATTCTAGAGAGCAAAGTCGTGGCCAGTTTCACCTATGCAACCCAACCCCCAACCCTCTTCAATATTTTGAACAAAGATCCCTTATTCTATCATGTTTCTGTCTCTTTCTCTACCATTCTCTCTCCACTTCTCCCTCAATCTCTAAAGGTTTTACAGACACTCATACATACTGTACATACATAGTTGTGTAACTACTCAAATATGATCCTATCTTTTCTCATACTCTAGTGTCGTCATCTTAATATTCTCCTTACTTAATTGCTCAATCTATGACCATTTGCTACTTGACTACTATTAGAGTATGTGTGACTCATATTTTTTTTGTGCATAATGACAAGGAGGTAGATGCCGGAGCGGGCTCCGCTCCGCCCGCGACGACATCTGGCTTGCGGGATTGATATATTTTATGCATGGGGGAGACGCTGATTAGTTGGTGGTGCGGGGGGCAATGCCCCCGCTGTACGGTACAGGGGTATTTTATAAATACGTCCGTACTAGAGTTATATAAATACTTAAGATGTAACCCTACTTTGAATAATGAAAAAGAACGGCTGCTCACTCCTGTAGATGTAGGCACATTTCCGAACCACGTAAATCTCTGTGTTATTTTCTCTTACTTTTTTAATTTTTTGATTCCTTATTATTCATCATAATTGCTGCACGATCACAACAACTGGTATCAGAGCAAGGCTACGATGTTTGGGATTTCTTCTGCAAAATTCGACATCATGAAGTTCAATGGAACTGGGAATTTTGGATTATGGCAGAGGAGGGTGAAGGACCTGTTAGTGCAGCAGGGCATGGCGAAGGCGTTATACGGAAAACAACCGTCAGGAATGGACGACATGGATTGGAAAGAATTAGAAGCGAAGGCTGTGGCGACTATTAGGCTTTGTCTGGCTGATGACATGATGTATCACGTCAGGGATGAGGAATCACCAGCGGAAGTTTGGTTGAAACTGAAAAGACGGTATATGTCCAAGTCGTTGACGAACAAACTCTATCTTAAGCAGAAACTATATGGTCTTAAGATGTCAGAGGGCTCGGATCTGACCCAACACATCAACATGTTCAATCAGATCATCAGCGATCTGAAGCAAGTTGATGTGAAGTTCGAAAACGAAGACAAGGCGTTGATGTTGCTGAATTCCCTACCAGCGTCTCCTACGTACGAGAATATGGTTACAACTCTGATGTGGGGGAAAAAAACCCTCGAGTTGGAGGATGTCACAGGTGCTCTGTTAGGTTTTCATCAGCGAAAGAAAGCCAGTGATGAGGCTTCACAAGGTGAAGGGCTTGTGGTGAAAGGTAACCAGGAACGTGGAATAAGCAAATCTCNTCACAAGGTGAAGGACTTGTGGTGAAAGGTAACCAGGAACATGGAAGAAGCAAATCTCAAAATGGATCAGGTAACAATAAAGCCCGGTCCAAGTCGAGGAAGAAGAAGAAGGACGTCTCCCTCTCGTGTTACAAGTGCGGGAAAAAGGGGCATTTTAAACAGGACTGTCCAGAGAAAAACAAAAGGGGGTTCAGAGGACAAAGAGGGTCCATCAAAGTCTGCAAACGTAATGGAAGAAGAAGATTCAGAGAGCGGTGACGGTGATATGTTTTTCTGTTTCATCTGGTCCAGATCATCTAACAGATTCCTGGATTATGAATTCAGCATGTTCCTATCACATGACACCCAATAAAGATTGGTTTGACACCTACAGGTCAGTAAATTCTAGTTTTGTTCTAATGGGTAATGTTGCATCCTGCAAAGTTGTTGGAATAGGGAATATTAGAATTAAGATGTTTGATGGTGTGGTTAAAACGTTGTGTGATATTAGACATGTATCGGATCTAAGGAAGAATCTGATTTCATTGGGCACTTTAGATTGTAATGGTTATAGTTACAAATCTATAAGTGGAGTAATGAAAGTGAGTAATGGCATGCTGATAGTGAAAAAGGGACAGAAAATAGCAAGAAACATTTACAGACTACTGGGTACCACGATTGTAGGTGGAGTTGCTGCTGTAGAGTCTGAANTGCAATATCAAGTCACCTACCAAGTATGGTTTTGAAGATTTGGTTTCTTATGCGCTTATTACTAGTAGCGGAGATCCTACAACTTTTCAGGAGGCAGTACAAAGCCAAGAGAAAAGTAGATGGATGGGTGCTATGGTGGAGGAGATGGAGTCTCTGCATAAGAACCAGACGNCATATGCGGCTGGGTCATATGAGTGAGCATGGGATGATAGAGCTTCATAAGAAAAATTTATTGAAGGGTGTCAAGACATGCAAGCTCAATTTTTGCAAATATTGTGTTCTTGGAAAACAGAACAGGGTGCAGTTCAAGACAGCCACACACAAGACAGAGGAAATTCTCGACTATGTCCATACAGATGTTTGGGGACCAATCAGTGTAGTATCACGGGGAGGATATATGTATTTCGTGAGTTTCATTGATGATTACTCGCGAAAGGTCTGGGTGTACTTCATGCAGCACAAGTCTGAAGCGTTTGCCAAGTTCAAGCTATGGAAAGCTGAAGTAGAGAACCAAACAAGGAGGAAGATTAAATGTCTCAGGTCAGATAATGGTACTGAGTACACAGATTCAAAATTCCAGGAGTTGTGTGAGCAACATGGGATCAAGAGACACTTCACAGTCCGCAAGACACCACAACAAAATGGTGTAGCGAAAAGGATGAACAGAACGATAGCCGAGAAAGCTCGATGTCTCAGGTTGAATGCAGGACTTGCAAAGAATTTCTGGGCAGAGGCAGTGAATATGGCATGTTTCTTGATTAACAGATTACCGAGGGCAGCATTAGATGGGAAAGTATCAGAGGAGGTGTGGACANAAATGACCCTTCAGTTGTGGGATATGTGGATGCAGACTATGCAGGGGACTTGGATGACAGGAGGTCTACCACAGTTTATGTGTTTACTCTTGTGGGAGGACCTATTTGTTGGAAGTCCATGATACAGCCTATAGTTGCACTATCTACTACTGAGTCAGAGTATATGGCAGTAGCTGAGGCTGCCAAGGAGGCTTTGTGGCTTACAGGTTTGGTCAAGGAGCTAGGTGCCCAGCAAGGTGGAGTTCAGTTGCATTGTGATAGTCAGAGTGCCATTTATTTAGTAAAGAACCCGGTGTATCATGTGAGGACCAAGCACATAGATGTGAGGTTTCATAAGATCAGGGAACTGATTTCTTCTAGTGAACTATTACTTGAGAAAGTTCACACTTCTGAGAATGTAGCAGACATGTTGACAAAGTCTGTTACTACAGACAAGTTCAAGCACTGCTTGAGCTTGATTAATGTCTCTAGTTGCTAGATAGGAGATGCCCCAACTTAGCGTCCCCGGTGGAGTTCCCGAATACATGTTCTCTTTTTTTCTCCTGAGGAATGAATATTTGCCGAGGTGCA